GGAATATGTTGCGTTGCTATCCATCTTGACTGTCATGTCTGTTTACAGATTGTGTCAATGTCAGAAGTATTAGTACCTGTTGTTATGATGTTGGTCCTGTGCACTGTTCATTCCCATATTGTATCGACACATTCGGGTCCTACTATGACGTACAATCAATCCAGGCAACGAATAACAAGACGCTCTCGACACGTTAGATCCAGAAATGGGAAATCAAGGCCTAGACAAAATTTACGTAAGTGTGCTATAGTACAAAGACTTCATAATATTCACTTTATAATATACATCTTTACTAAAGGTATAATATACAATCTTTACTAAAGGTGTACATAAGGATTCAAAATCCTCTCAAGATATAGCTTCTGAGAAAGCGAGTACAGGAAGTGAAGAAGTACTCACTGCAGTAAGATTTGCTAAGAAAGTAGTGATTCAGAATGGCAGCCAATCTCAGGTAAATATTTTAATTTACAATATTTATCAAAATATTGTATATATGCATTTAAAAATTGTTGATGTAACAGGAACCGGCAAGCGCTCAAGTAGTATATGACAAAGAATCATTAAGTACAACTGGAGAAAATTCTGATCCCTCAAACGAGAATTTAGCTAATCGCGAACAGCAAGGTAAAGAGGTGCTACTTATTTACTGCACATTCGTATAATTTTAGAGCTTAATATCTATTTCTCTCTACATGCGACAGATGATGTACCAGAGGAACATGTAGCAAATATACATCAAGACGATGATGGCTTTGAAAGTTTAAATGGTAATGTTTCTAGTGATAATGACAAAGTGATAGGCCGTGCCCTGGTGCAAGGAAATAAATCACGACTAGGTCTGCCACGACAGAATAAAGCTCACAGGTCATGGTCGGAAGACAGTACCATTCAAGTTTCATCAAAGTCAATTTCATCAAAGAACTCAGGTTTGATTTACAAGTACACGCTTGTAAAATAGTTTGTAGACGGTTAACAATTTTGCAAAGATTAAGTCTTTTATAAGTCTTTGTAAAGATAATCGTAATTTTTTGAGTGTAAAAATAACTTTTTAAAAATATTGAAAATTCTTCCAATATGACTTAAGCTGTATGAAAGTAATCACTCTTTTTTTTTTTATTTGTTTTTATGTTTGTGGTTGCATTTCCAACCGCTAACACGCTTTAATCTTTGTTGGAAAGGTATAAAATGGAGTAATAGCTAAATCATCGTTTTCCACTTTCCACGCAGCACCTGACCCGTTAAAAAATGATGACAATTTTATGGATAGCAAAAGCAACATTCACGGCCATATTAAGGTACTATCACTTACAAGTTTCACTTATTTTTTTTCCGGATTTATAACTGAAGAAAATCTCTATTTTTTTAATGATTCCGCTTATCTTTTCCGGAGGCTAATTTTTCTTAGATATTCTTAAATATTCTTTTACTCTATTAAGAACAAGAGATAATTAGAAGGTTCATATTTAATGCATCTTATATTAATCTGTCAACTCTGGTGATCTTGTTAATTCAAGGATAAAGATACGTCATCAAAAATATTGGGATCAAGAAATACACGGCAGCAGTGCGAGAGCGAAGAGGAAGGCGAGTGTGAGGAGGCTACAACGCATCATCTCACGGAGGCAACAACTTCCGCCACGGAATGGATGGGAGTAACAACCAACAGTGACGAGTGTAGTTACAGGTAAGACGTACATATCTTAATAAATCATAGCTTTTCGTAAAACAAAATTGTTACAGTTCGGAACTTGGGGAATCTGATATAGCCAGCGAGGCTAATTATGGAGAATTCGTGGAGCATCCTTTCTTATGGGAATTTGAATTACCACCTCCGATATTATTTAATTCTACTTGCACATCGTCTGATCGTGGTTAGTATGATAAGTTTTGCATATAAGTATAGATTTATTTTAAGAAGCTATCTATACCCAACTATCCAACAAAATAAACAGATGCAGATTTAATAATATCTACTTTGTATCGTTTTGTTTATAGTTTCGTGTACGATTTGGACGCGGCGTGACATCAAGAAGGCTGAATTATCAGTGCTTGATATCAGTTCAGCAATTATTGCCAGAGTCGAATCCATGCCAGAGGGCATGAATTATTTTTACGGCGGTTTAATACTTAGTGTCGCTTTATGTCTGATACCATCAATAAAACGGCTGAGTGATCATGTGGGATCAGATAACATCGGTAATGCATCTGTTAGTCTGTTACCAAGTGACATGATCCAGATGAACTTTGAAACCTACACCGATGACTTGTGCAGAATAATTGGCATAGCATTCGGAAGTACTTTTTGGTAAGAGAATACTTCTCCGGTTTACATTTTAAAATATTTGCAGATTAGTAGTTTTTTTTTTAACCGACTTCCTTTTTCAGGGAACGAACGATGGTGTTAATTTCAATATTTGAAAGATTCACGCTGTCATGCTGTCTATTTTTCTTGCTTGCAGTAGCGGAACGAACGTATAAACAGAGGCTTTTGTATGCAAAATTATTTTCTCACTTGACATCATCCAGACGCGCGCGTAAGTCCGATTTGCCGCACTTCCGCTTGAACAAAGTGCGCAACATAAAGACATGGTTGAGCGTCAGATCTTATTTGAAAGTAAGAACTATTAAACGTTAATACGCTCGTCAATTTGAAAATTAGATTTGTATGTCTTATGCTTTTTCCAATTTTGTATTACAGCGAAGAGGTCCGCAACGATCTGTAGACGTAATTGTTTCAGCAGTATTTCTTGTTACGTTATTATTGCTGTCACTCGTAAGTCTGGAATTAATTAAAGTAAGTACATTTTATATGTATATATTTTTTTATATATCTATTTTTACTTTTTTATTTCTCTTGACAGTGCAAATTTTATTTTAGGATCTCGAAAGTTTGCACTCACGATACAATGTCGAGGCATTATTCTGGTGCTTCTCGCTTGGGATATTTATATTACGATTTATGACGTTAGGAACAAAGATCAACAAAAAATACAGAAATCTCTCAATTTTGATAACTGAACAGGTAAACTTCCTTATATAATATGCTTGAACTTCTATACCTGAAAGCTTTCTTACTTTTTGATGTAATTTTCAGATCAACTTATACTTGCAAATTGAGCAAAAGCCACATAAGAAAGAAGAGCTTATGGTTGCAAATAGCGTATTGAAATTGGCGGCTGACTTGATAAAGGTATGCGTTTTTGCAAGTTTAATAAAGGACCAATATAAATAAATTAATTAATTCAAAGGGATGTTTTACAGGAATTGGAGAGTCCGTTCAAAATCTCTGGACTCTCGGCTAATCCGTATCTGTACACCATTACTAAAGTGGTGCTACTGTCAGCACTCTCAGGCGTGCTTTCGGAATTGCTCGGTTTCAAGCTGAAACTGCATAAAATAAAAATCAAATAAAGAAATACGAGAAGTAATGGAAGAAATCACGTATCCTCTGTTAATCTCGGATGTTTACTGGATTTGAAAATCTATCAGCGAAAATTGCTTGGCTTAATTATACTTAGTTAATTTTAGGTGCTTTAGCTTATTCAACTTCGAGACTGTAAGTAACAAAATCTTATTTAGCTAGTCACATTAATGACAATTTAGTCTAATACCTACTCAATATATTCCAAATTGAAAAAACTACGTAATTATGACAGAATTTATAATGAAATTTTCATTTAAGAGAAAAATTTATTTCAAATTTGTTGAAGAGATTGAAAAGCATATGATTTTAACTCTTTGCTACACGACTACTTCATTCGTGTTGCTGATATTAATAGACTAATGAATATTAAACTGATTTCAAAACTGATTTCTCGGTATCACGGCCGACTAATTTAGTGGTACAAAAATTATAATATAAAGGTGAGTCAATAAATTATTCAAATGTTTATAAAATTTATTAGAACGGTAGAAAATCCATGTGTCAATTTGTAACGTACCGTAGTCTCCTTGCTTTCTGACGCACTTGATTTAATCTAATATTCTGTTTGTACAATGAAAAGCAAAACTATATAATGACATTATTGTAGGTTTTCTACTGTTCTATAAATATATTCCGAATAATTGTTGACTCATCTCACACGTAGTTAAATCACTTAACGCACACATTTGACAAGGCAATACATTTATTGTATGCTGTAGAACAGAACTTTAGCCTAAATGAGCCTTTTTTCCGAGTTGTTGCATATTATTGCTTTATCACTGTTAGCCTATTATATTGAATACTAAAAACTGTATAAAAATAATTCTTACACTTAATGAGATATGTAAAGTGTTTGGAATCTATTCAATGTACAGTGTAAATATTAAAAATTTATAGCAATAATAAGGGCTCGATAAACTACGCAAGAAGGACTTCCCTCAAGAAAGTGCTTTTTTAGTTTTAAATTAAAAATTTTGATGTTTTCCGAATGTTGTAGCAAGATTTTATTATTGTTATGAATGGAGAACATTCTATTTTGTATATTATCTTGCATAAATTTTGTAACTACCGATTCGTGATAGTACCTATTTGAACGAATATATATTCGTTGAGCTTCGTTAATGATAAGAAGATCAATCGTCATATATACTCTAAGGCTATGTAAGAGGGTGAGTCAATAATTATCTGGAATCTATTTATAAAATTTATTAAAGCGCAAACAGATATTTTTCAACATACTCCTCTTGCTTTTCAACGCACCTAGCATCCCGTAAATTTATTTACGCTCAAAAAAGAATATTTTTTATTAATCTTTCAGCTACACATGCACTACTTTTTTTATATCCTACTCAGTGACAAATTGAATAGTGAACGATCACCATGTATTTGATCCAAATTTAAAGATAGAAATTGTCGATTTGCCACTAAAAGGCATAAACCAACTTGTTGAATGCTAGATGCTTCAAATATAGTTTTGAAAAGCATGGGGACTATGTTGAAAAATCAACATAAATTTCTATTAAAGCTTTAATAAATTTTATAAATACATTCCGGATAATTGACTCTCATTCTAATGTAATCTGACAACTTGCGATATATTTTCGCAAACATTTTAATGTATTTGAAATGTGTGTATAATTATATAATTGCACAACATACTTGAAGATATATGTAAATACTGTATGTATTACGAGATAGAGTATGTATTATGAGAAGAATAGTACCTGTGCGATAAAAATAAGATTGAATGTAAATTATTTTTCAAACACACATTTAAAACTTGTCGCAAATACATAAGAAATAAAAGCAAATATATATGTATATGAAATGTATATAATACATAGAAAAACTGCTGTGCGAAGAATCTTTTTGACATTTTAAAAGACAGTTATTTCAATTTGTGTATCAGTTAATTACAGAGACTCGCGGTTTACTTCTATTTTATAACAATAATAATAGAAAAAGGAAATCTAATTGACGGAAAAAACCATTTAAAAAATGATCTCGGTATCACGGGCACGCCTATGAAAAGGATATCAGGTTTACATAACATTACAAAGCAATACGCATTTGCAATGCTCGAAGAGACACTTGACAACGGTATTAATTAAAATCGAGACCGCGCGTGAAGTGAGTATGCATTTTTTAAACGATTAGAAGAGGATATGATATTACTAAACCTGAAAAAAATCGCTAGCAAAAACAGAGGCTTTCAGTTTCAACGTTTGCCGCAAGTTATAATATTATTCTGTTACAATAAATCATTTTATCTATCATAAAAAGAGGAATCTAACGTGTGTGTAAACTTTGCGCGCGCAAACAATAGGTATATATTTATATATACACATATATATGGAAGAGAAAAAAAAATAGAGACTGACATTCGACTGCGCGAGCGATCAAACGGTCTCGTTATCGATAACAAATCGCAATCAGTCGCGCGATTGGGACCTTGATAAATTCCCCGGAACGTCGGAACCCCGATGACAGCTCGATTTCATCGGTTTCATCCCCCGCCGCGCCGGTCACCCCGCCACCGATAGATCTGTTATTGTCCCGTGGCGTGAACCGCCGATTGGTCCATGACGACCGCGTGACGAGCGACGCGAGCCGTCACGAGCACCAGCACCCGTATGAGCGTATATGAATGTGCCGGCCCGCGGCAGCGCGGATTCGCGGATAGCTGGCGCGTCACGCGTGGCGCGTGCTCCGGTTTAGTCAGGGTTTAGTTCGCAGTCGACCGTCCGCAGGTGCACGTCGCGCTCGCGCTTGGACGCGCCAACTGACAGCCGTACACCGTACATACATCGGTGAGACGCTCTGCCCGGAACCGGAAGACTGTCGGAAGATCGACCTGTGGAGTGCGGACTGGTGCGGACCACTATAGCTTGTTCGTCTGGTTTGCCAGCCCCCCTCCGTGTGGCTCGCCGGGGCCGCGACCACGACTTTGGACCCGGCTCTCGGCGAATTTCCGTGATAATGGCCGCGGCCATGGACCAGGATTACTACGACGGCTTTCGCACTTTCTCCTGGCTCGCGGATCTCGTCGGATTACCGATCGACCAGGTGAGAGCGCCGACGAGCATCGTCGCTGGGCATTCCGGGGTTAGGGGCGGCCGGCCGGTGCCACTGTCCTCCGGCGGATTCCTGGGCGGCAACAGGGAGATATCGATCGTCGGGAGGATCGCGCCGCGTCGCGACGCGCCTCTCCGCGCGTGTTATTGTGCATCTCGCGAATTGCAGTTTGGATTCGCACAATCTCGAATTTGTATATACGGTCAAGTTTTGGAATGAATCTCTTCCTCTCGCCCGTTGTGCCGGTCGACCCGGTGTTTTTAGTGCTTAAATTATGCGTGGGAAACGAGATGAGAATAAAAAAAAAAACAAGCGACGAGTCGGTATGAAGTAAACAAATTGAAGTGCTATATACCAATGCGCCGGGACACCTATAAGTATAATGCGAATTGAAATCAAAGATAAAAGTTATAAACAAAAAAAATATTTTTATTTTTGATTTTTTGATTTTAATCGCGTTATAACTTATCTAAGGATTAAAATGATAAAAATGTCCAGACATATAGGTACGTGTCCATCACGCATTGGTATATTTACTTACGCGCGAGGAATTCGTATTCGAAAAGAAATTCGCTGGATGCGATTGAATAAGAATTTCCGGTCTGTCTACGTGTTACGTTTTTTTTTTTATGGCGATTTTAGTTGATTGATGGCTCTCGACTGTCCGTCGGGTTTTCCCGAGTTTTCCTTGATAATCAAATTTGTAATTGCCGGAGAGACAAAGCTGAAAAAGAACTGCAGCTTATGTAACGCAGCAAATTATGAAGTTCCCTTTTGCATAATTGCTCAACAACGTGATCTTTTCTCTCACATTATAGTTCTCCGTCGATTTAATTTTGAATTCTACTGATTTGAATAATCGACTTTAATGAGATTCCCGCGCGATGACTTTTAGAACTAGATGTCCTTCTCCACATTTTTTTTCCTTATGTATCTTGTATAGTTGATTCAGAATTATGTGATACATCGTTTTCTCCAACACGGAAAGAAAGGATGAAAAGCGGTAAAAGCTATTTCTCTTCGCAGCGATCACGTAACTTTTCCCCTAGGGCGTGAACGGTGAAAAGTTTCACGTAAACTTGTGATTTATGTGATCATATAACACGAGGAAACCTGGAAACGTGATCTCGTCAATAATAATAAAACAAAACAAAAAAATAAATTCACGCGGAATGGATAGAGCGAAAAGTGAAAAGTCCCGCGTGAAATTACATGCTCGATTCCCTGCGGGTTGGGTGCGACGCGTTGTAAAATTGCGTCGTAAACCTCCAAGTAGCCGATGACGTAAGCCGCAAAATCGGAAGATGTATATTCACAACCCCGCAGATTGTATCCCCCCTGTCTTGTAACACCGTCAATTGTCAAATCCGAGACGGACAACCGTGAATTTCCCTGTCGTTCGGATACACGCCTCCGGCTTTTTCAATTCCAACCCGCGCCGCGCTTTGGCGCGTGAAGCTGCGGTCCGGATTTCGGCGGCCAGATTCGGAGGGGGCCATGTGCATCTCGTCTAGAAAAGAGGAAATGTGATAAATATTGAAAAAAAAATAAATAAATAAAATATCGATTGTATGAGCTGCCAATGTCCATTTCTACCAACGTAGGTTAACTTTAATCTCGGTTTAACTCCTTTTCTATATTTTTCTAGTTCTAACGCTCATTTCTACCAATGCAGATTAATTTTTATCTCGGTTTAACTTCTATCTTTCTCTATGTTCTAAAAATTAAAAGTCAAGTGATGAAGGTTACGTATAATATTTTGTTAATGTGGTAGAACAATATGCTTTGTTGATGTCGCTAGATAAGTTAATCACCGATCAAATGAATTGGGGTTCGTTGAAATCCCCGCGAATCGTTCCAAATCACGACGCACGAATATCCAGACGCAGGCGCGCCGAAATCCGGTGTAAACTTCACGCGACAAGGCCGCTCGCAAATTCGTTCCGCCGCCGCTTTAATTATACGCTTCAGTGTTTTGAAACAAAAAAAATCGATGGACAATTTTGTTCGAAAATATATTTTTCGTTCGTTCTTCGTAAAGCTTTGCGATTGTCTCGTCGCCGCTATAACGGCTTATATCTTTTCTCAAAGTCGTGAGTATTATCTCGAAAGAAATAGAAAAAGCGCAAGAGGGAAGAGACGAGGAAAAAGGAAACAATGGCAGAGCGCAGAAGAGATAAGGAAATGCGTGTTATCTATTAAAACAGGTTGATTCGCGCGATGACAAAGCTATATCGCGAGTGAAACTGGATTATTCCGATTGCCAATGAAAGCCTCACCTTGGACAGATTGCGACTCCGCATTCGACCGCACCTCTGAACTATCAATTTGACCTGATTGAAGCGCGATCGAATCACACGTGCACAATCCTTCATTGAAGCGGGACGTTCGTGAGAAGCGCGGTGACGTTGGCGTTCTCTTCGTAGAGAAGCTCTGTCGTGCGGTCGTGCCTTCCTATTTATTAACTTGGAAACGGACGCCTGAGGTGATTTTTACCCTCCCCAGTATCGAAAAAATGATGAAGCTCACGTCATATAATTTTAATGTGTTTTTTTCTATTTTTTATATATATTTTATTGATTTTTTTTCCAGGAAATGTTGAGAAAATATAGAACAAGAAAAAAATACGCAATATGTAATTAATAACAATGACTTTTGATTGGGGTGTAAAAATCACCCTAAGTGATGCATGTATGCAAAAAAAAATCAAGCGTCCGTTTCCGGGTTAATGCTGAGCTTTAAAACCGTGGAGAGAATTGAGGAACAAGAACTTAAGCTCTTTGTTAGAAAAACGAAATGTATAAAGTGATTTTGTAAATACAACGTTTATTCGGTATAATTTTCCTAAAATATTTCTTGTAAAACAAACGCAATTGAGATACGTCTATGTAACGTCTATGTAAGAGGTATGTAAACATAGCTGATCTCGAGGGAAAAGAAAGAGATCACTTAACTTTAATCTGTTCAGTTTAATTGTACTTTACGATATAAATTTCTATATAGACCTTAATCAATGTTTGAAGATTGTTCATGACTTTTAGAATCTTCCATAATGTGGGTAAAATCAGTTCTAATAAAAAATGCTTCTTTGATATCTATTGCTGCTTAATAAGAAGGCTCTTATTGTATTATAATTTCTGACCCTCTAAGGAGGTCAAAGAAGTTCAAATTTTCCATTGAGCGTAATAGATTTCCAAGCAGACGCAACAGGTAATGAAGACATTTGTGTTACGCCGCGGCCGTGTTGCACAGTTTTTTTTTTTACTAATCGCCTCCCAAGGCTATAAAGACGGATGGTAGAGCTATATTATTTTCTTGCTGCGAGGGAAAACGGTGGCAATTGCACCAGCTGTAAAGAGCTCGTAACGAGCGGCCGGATCATTTTACGATACGCCCGCTCCTTAGAATATGATCGACGTGCTGCGCGCCATTTCGTCTTCTATTTTTAGCGAGAAATCTTTGTCTTGCTATTCTTAGCAGTGTGTACCACTAGCAGAAAATAAGATCAGCTGTTTAAAGAAATATGTGCTTAAAAATAAAAACGAGATTAGAAAAGAAGGCAAACGGGAGGATATAATTTCTATTTATTGATCGTAACAATGAAGATATATATGTATATATATAGATATATACATACATATGTACTTGAGAGAAAAAAGTCTTTTGAAATAAGCCTTGCAGAATGAACCTAACGTTGATCTTTTGTCAGTGATTTTATTATATTAATGATTATATTAATGA